CTGCTGCTTTTTCGGTGGAGCGACATTTGTACTGTCGGCCTCGTGTTGTTAGACACTTCGATCTTACTTCGAATAGTAGGGCGAGCTAGTTCAGAGATTCTTCTCGCCGCTTTCTCTTCGTCGTGCGTTCAATGCTGGTTGCTGCGAGGTACTGAGGGGTCTCTCTTGGAGCCCGCACCTCGGACCTTGGATCGGTGCTCTACATGGGAAATCTACCAGCTGCACCTCTCGGGTTGGCTGGGTTCGGACCTATTCCTTTGGCTTTCTCTTCGAGAAGCAGGGGAGTATGTCGGTCACTTACAACGCCCTGGGGCGGGGTTCGTCCCGAATGGGGGACCAGTACTTGCGAAGTTCTCTCCCTACGGGGAGGGGATTGGTGCTGGTTGTTCGCTGGCTGGTTTGGTTGCAGTGGTGGGAACTGCTACTGATACTGTTGATAAAGGTAGTATTGTTGGAACTGATGAATATACTGCATCTGAATCTGCATTGTTCGTATGCTCTGGACGAGGTTGCCGAACTGGGAGTGTCCAATCCCAAGGGGAATCACGGAAGGCTCCGAGAATGTAGCGCTCACCTAGGGGAGCGGGACACTTAGTTGTTGGGCAGTGTGGGGTGCGGACAGTGATGAGACCCCGGAAGCGGTCAGAGGAATGGTGAACTGGCCGATTGTCATCGAGGGTCCTCGAGGAGCGAGTATCTACTGCTGTTGCCCCCCAATGATGTTCATGTTACCCTTACCGTTGTCGCTGGAAGATGCCATTGAGGTTGAGACTGAGCTTGAGACTGTAAAGAAATTGGGATGACCTTTTGATCGTTTCCCACAAACGACGCCAATTTATGATGCGCGATCTGGAAGCTCCTAGCTGGAAGATGACCTAGACCTTAATCATGTAGCGAGCTGGACCAAGCTGCAAGACAGAGGATAAGAGCACCTGGGGTGGTTAACCCGGCGAGCTCGCTCCGATGCTTAAGTCAATACTTTGTCGTGATTGCGAGCTAGAATTTGAGTGCTAGAGAGCTTGGATGCAAGTAATCGCACGTACCTGGACCATGGAGGGATTGATGCCTTTATATAGCTGAGTTATTGCAGGTTTTCCGAAACTGTTCCGAGATCTACAACCTGAATGGACGAGATTCGTTTCCGTTTTAGTTGGGGAGTAACGTATCAATCAATGAACCTTATTGTCGCTGCCCGATTCGGACAAGGAGAAGATAAGTCTTGGTGTTATGCAGTGTGACCCCATAATATTTGAAGTCTGCTGGGAAGCTATTAGGATTGATTACATGTCACTTCGGTTCCCGAGCCCCGTACTCAATTAGGCACTGAGATGGCGTTATGCCGATATAACTTTATGCTGAATTCCACATACTGCTGAGTTGTCATCCTATAGATCACGTTCACGTGACTTTTATTTACTAGGTCTTACCAAATTACACCTCATCATATAGTATTTATATAATCTATATTATATAAATATGTATGTCACATCATCATGGCTCCACCGCAAAGTTGTACTTGGATCTGCTCTGATTTAAAGGACCACACCGAGTAGAATTGGGATCTGATGAAATTGAAATTAGATTTTTCTTTCCACAAATAAAAGTTTTTGTATAGTTAACCAAAACATAGTTAGTTGAAATTGAATTAAATTAGAGTAAACAAAAATTTCTACCTCTTTGATTGATGCATTAACTGAGACTCAAATTGAAAAGAGTGTATATATAAACTTATAATGTAGAAATGTATGTAAAATAATACAAAATATAAGTTTTTTTATTATTTAAAAGAAGAAGGCAACACCAAAGTAACTACAGACCATAGAAGGACGCAATTAGAAAGATCCAACTATATCCTCCGATTATCTCAGTAGGAGAATTTACAAAAAACTTACATGGACAAGACTGATTAATAGCTAAGTTCGCTAACTATCAGCATATCTATTAGACTCCCTAAAACAGTATAAAATACAAGCTTTTGCCTTCTATGTATTTTCTATTTGTACTGCTTTCAAATTGATCCTTTTTGCAAGGTTAATGATGGTATGTCTAGTTGTCTTCATGCCAGGAACATTAACCAAAAATATATTTTGGTTAGTTTATTGCCTGATTAATAAAGTTGTGGATTTGTCAGCTCAAAAATTATTTTGTATATCAATTAATTAATCGTCTAACAAGTTCGTGGGAATCAATATTACATTCATCACACTATATCTACAAGTGGGAATAAAAATGAGATGTTTAGCTATTTATACACAAGGTTTAAAATATTGATAAATTCGATATGCTGGTAGTGATGTATTGGGCAGTATCGTTATCTTCTTTTTTTTTATATATATATATATATATTTTAGTTTATTTAATATGGTTTAGAGGAATTAGTTTAAGATTCATCCACCCTTTAAATCATTTGAAATCCCGAAACAGCTCTTATAAGAATGTATCGGGAGGCAAAAACATACAAATCGGTCTAAACTATCTATCACAATTAAACACGCCAGCATTCAATATTGCTGGGTATCAGATGAGCCTACAGTACTGTTTAACCATGATAGATAATTCAGCTGGATGTATATGATCTTATTTCCAGTTCAATTCCGATACATATCAATACTTTGAATCTTTATCTATATCAGAGCCATAAATATATGAAAGAATAAAAAAAAAAAGAAAAGTCACATTATCAGATGCATTGATGCACGCCTGCACCATCCTTATTCCTATTATTACTAACAAATGGTTCATAGGTGGTTTCAAACCCATGGTTTTAACTTTTAATGGAGCCATTGTTAATATATAATCAAATTATGCATAGGGGACACAGAGTCCTAAAATCTGTAAAAAGAAAATGAATAATATAATATAAACCCTTCCTCTGTTCATGAGTCATGACCGTACAGATACTTTATTATGATATTAAGAGATAACTGCAATACTCAAAAGGATTAATTACATCTGACAATAATATATTTTTTTATATGTTCGAAAGCAACGTACGGTTATAGATATAAATAAAATGGGAAAATTTATGATGTGAAAAATATATGATATGGGAAGAGTTTTGATTAATCAAAATCTATCCATAAATTTTGATAAATAACACCTGATTGATTATCTATTTATGATTCTAATTGATTGATCGAAAAATTTTCAAATATTATACTTTTTCTATATCATAGTCGAACCCAAACAAAATATATGGATTGGATGATAATTGTGTCTCGATCGAATTAATGGTAAATGGACCCCCTCGAGTCCTAGTGAAGTTAGTGGGTGGGCGTGAGCTCAAGCTGTCTAGTTTGAACTTTGAAGCCCGTGGGCTGTGGGTGTTATTTGCTAGCGATTGAATGCTTCTAACTACCAACCTTGCATGGCATAAGAGCTTAGAAGCGCTTTCAATATACGGCCAATGAATGAACAGAATCCATTGTTTCAACTTTCAACTGCCAAACAAATCTGCTTATCAGCGCATTCAATTGTACCTAGAAAATAATAAATCCATTCATTAATTTCAGATTAAGCTTTGGGCATTGTCAAATTCTAATTTCTAAGTAGGGGTTTTCTGTTAATGCTTTACCCAATTACCCATAATCCGTCTCCTGATTAGTAGGCTCTTGGTAAAGAAAACAAAACATGTAATTTATTACCAAGTAGCTAATAAATAACGACTAAATAGTGAGTTTCTTAATCTTGATATTTGTGCTAGTGAAAATGAGTAATTAAATCCATTGGTTCTTTTGGTGGAAGTGTGTAACTGGGACTGGATCCAAATCTTTGGGAATTGAGAACAATTCTTTGGTGGGTCGCTCCGAGTCTGAGAGCGGAAAAAACTCTTGAATAATGAATATACATCAGTTCATGGTTTCATTCCTTGGGCTGTCAAAATGTCCGGGTTTTTTAGTCTAGATTGTTTAATGGGTTGTTTTTGAGTCCCAACTCTAATGATGTCAGAATTGGGTTTTCTTGTTTTGACCCAATTAAGACCGGAATCGATTATCAGATGTATGAAGCTATCATTTTATACGAATTGTATAAGATATCTAAAGGAAAAAAAAAAGCAAGAGAATTAGCAGATTTAATACGAAATTCCCATTTTCAATTATCATACCTATCAAACCCGATTAATAATAGGATGTGGGTGAATACGAGTCATACTGGTCGGTGGGTATGGGTTTTATCCTGATATAGCTCAAACCTGACTTACGGCCTGTTTGACAAAATCTTCTTGTAGCTATTATAGTTAAAAGACTCGTTGATCTTTCAGAAAAAATACGGATAACCCTAATGCAGATTTTTGATTCTCACTACAAAGTTATAAATATTCAAAAGGTCTAAAAACCATATTTTATGCATCCATACCCGCTCGTGAATTGGTATCAATTTCAAGCTGGCACCTACCCCAAATGTACTTTGAACATACAAATTCTGACCCTGGGGTTATCAGTCATTCTCCCTTGATATTTTGACATAAGATCTGGAGCCTGAAGACTGTACAGGAGATGCGCGTCTTTTTGTGTATTGTTTTACATGAGATTAAACGAGAAAGAATGAAAAGTTTCTTTTGGAATTTCTCGAAATCAGCCCAAATGAAAAGTTTCTTCGGCGTGTCAAATGAAAATAGACCAATTATCGGTCTTCTCGACTTGTAAACAGCCAAAAAAACTATACGAAAAAACACGTCAAGCCAAACAGACCCTTAATCGACCCATCTCCATCTTGGCTGTAAATTGACCGAGCCACTTCGACAAAGCCCTCGCTGCAAGATACGGCAGGGGGTCCACACTCTACTACACTAAGGTCTGAGGCTGAGGGCGCCAGTAACAAAACCGAAGCATTTGAAAATCCTGGTCCGTGTCCATGATGAAATCAAGTCTTGAGGACTTTAGCCCATACCATAGTCATAGTGTAGGCTCCAGCTGGAGGTAGGTAGGAATCGAATATTATTCCAATGAAATATTTTCAATACAGAAGGAAGTAAGATCACAAAATTCAAACGTATTTTGTGCTTATTAAGGTTTGTTTAGGAGCAAGTGTGGAGTGGAGTATAACAAAACGGCGACATATTATATTCCCCTTCTTCCTGATTGCTCAACCTGTTATTTTTTATTTTGAGAGAGAAATACACACATTGGCAAATAAAATAATGCAGGAAGAAAATTAAAAGTCACACCACCATTCCCGATTCCATTTCCACCTACCTTCACAAAAAATCAAACCTCCTCCCTTGAATCACCACCATTCAATTTCAATTTCTTCTGCTCTGTAACCAAAATGCTCCCTCCCTCTTCACATTCCTCGTCTCCCCCTTTTCTGCTACCATTTTCCATTCTCATCCTCTGCACCATCTCCTCCCTCTCCGCCGCCGCCACCACCACTACTTGCCCCTATGATATCGACGCCGCGTCAGCTCTCATCCCCGTTTCCTGCTACCCCAACTACACTAATACCGCCGATGCTCCTACCACCAACTGTTGCACCTTCGTCTTCGCTGCCTACATCTTCGCCGTCATTCGCTACTCCAACATCTCTGGCCTCGCCTTCCTTCCTGAACCCTCCGCCTCGGCTTGCGCCACCTCCTTTGCCTCCACCCTCATCCGTCGCGGCATCGTTCGTTCTTCCCTCCTCCTTATCGGCGACCGCTGCAACCTCAACGCCGATCCTGCTCAATTCTCGGCCGGCAAGCGCCCTTGCCAGTATCCCACTGTCGCCTCCATTAGCTCCGCCGTTGACCTCTCTCGAGCCATCCAGAGATGCACTCAACGTGACCTCTCGACCAACCAGTCTCATTGCACGTCGTGCCAGAATTCCGTCATCGGTGCAACTCTGACGCTCCTCAACGTCACCAAGAGCAAGGAATTCGTCCCATGTGGCATGGCCACCACGATCGGCATCTGGTCAACGTCGCCGGATATCCGACGCTTCAGATTCTATGCTCTCTGCATGATCGAAGTCCTCGACAACGTCGGGAGTCTAGGCACCAGCTCCCTCATCCCATCTCCGCCTCCGCCTCCGCCTCCGCCGCTACAGACAACGCCGTCGGTCACACAACCTCCCTCCAAATCGCGCCTCGTACTCGTTGTTACGGTCTCAACCGTCGGCGGAGTTGCAGTCATAGCAGCTATTCTCATCCTCTACTGCACCTTCTGTCAAGGGAAAACGCCCACCACCATTTCTTTCTCTGGCGGAACCCTGAAAACCCAGGCCGGATCCGAATCGCCGCTCCCAAAAGACGGTTTGTACATCTTCACAAAGAGCGAACTGAAGCAAGCAACGAAAGACTTCGATCTGAAGCTAGTCTTGGGAGAGGGAGGTGCAGGGAAGGTGTACCTGGGCAAGCTCCCAAGCGGCCAACACGTAGCAATCAAGAGGATTTATCAGAAGAAAAAGCTCGACCAGTTTTACCGCGAAATAGAGATCTTGGTCAAGCTCCGGCACCGGAATCTGACGACACTTCTCGGGTACTGCCTCGATAAGAAGGAACATGTTCTGGTTTACGAGTACATGGCCGGCGGGAACCTCTCGAGGGCGTTGTACCATGGGGAGCTGACGTGGCGACGGCGCGTAGAAATCGCCGTAGACATCGCGGAGGGATTGGCATACCTGCACGAGTTCTCGGAAGGGGCCGTGGTGCATAGGGATGTGAAGCCCACGAATATACTGCTCAGTGAGTCTGGGCAGGCAAAACTATCGGACTTTGGTGTGTCCAAGATTTTGCCTTCTGAAAATAGCCACGTGTCAACTGAGATAAAGGGGACAACTGGGTACCTAGATCCGGAATACTTCTCAGTAGGACAAGTGTCAGAGGCAGCTGACGTGTATAGTTTTGGGATTGTCTTGTTGGAGCTGATTACAGGCAAGAAGGCGGTGGTTAATACACCCACCGGAGGCGCAGAGTCCATCGTATATACAGCTCACATGCTGATGAGTGGAGGGGAGGCTGAGCCGGATGTGGTGAGGATTGCGGATCCGAGGTTGGGGTCAAGGTTTGAACCGGGTTTGATGGTGGAGGTGTTCAAGATGGCATACAGGTGCGTGAAGCCATATAAAAGCGAGAGACCAGCGATGAAAGAGGTATTGGAGCTACTGAAAAGGGTGCTTGCGGAGATGGAGGTGGTGGCGCCGCTTCCTCCAGCGGAGGAGATTGTTAATGATGGGCTATCGGGCCCGTCCACCTCTCAATGTTCGACGCCGACTATGAATCCGTGGTCATTGTGACGTGACGTGTGATATAATGGAGATTAATACTGCATTTGTTGTTTTTACATTCAAAGATACATGAACTTTCCCCGTTTACAAAAATTTAAGAGGAAATGAGAACCAGGGGTTGAAAAAGCAGAAGAAACAAAAGATTTACGGAGAAGGGCTTTTCTATTTATAACAATATCTGTATCAGTACCTACCATTTATAAAAACGAGGGGAACAACTGTTTAGTCAAAATCTTGATTTTACTTTCTCTTTTTTACCCTTTATTATTTTTGCTTAAAAAAAGGGTTTCTAGTTGATTTGACCCGACCTAATAAGGGACACGTCGACACGATTTGAATAAGAAATAACAATTTAGTCTGATAAATTCAGTTCGCAACAATTGAGCCTGCATATTCATTCATCTCGGCACAAAGGCTGCCTCGGCTTAAGGCTCACCCGGGGCTAGCCACCCTGGGTTCTTTGATCTTGTTCTACAGATTTACTTAGCTCGTTGTCCGACTGAAAGCCAAATCATCCTCCAGCAGGGAGCAGTCAAATCACGCAACAACAATTGGCGTCGTCTGTGAGAAGACGATCAAAAAGCTTTCTTCACAATCAACAACTCATTTGAAATCAATGGCATCTTTCAGTCACGCCGGACAAAGCATTGAAATGAACATCTTTAGGGGGCAACCTCAGTTTCTATCAGTCTGCATTGGTCAGTTCACCATACCGCTCACTGCGGCTGGGGTCCCAACACTGACCATGCCGCAAGTTACTACATAGGAAAACGTCCCGCTCCCTCCAGTGGTGGGCGCAACCTTCGCTGAATCGTCTGTGGTTCCCCCCTGAGTCGGGAAATCCCAATTTGACGAGTTGGTACACTACGTGCGGGCCATTCAGGTCCAATTGCAACAGGTCCAACAGTTCCAACAATACCAGCAACATGTGTTTTACCAGTACTACCAACAGCAGTTCCCTCCACTGCCGCAAAGCCAACAGCCGGTTCCACCCCGGCACTCAGCAACTCAGCAGAACCGAGGCGAGGAGACCTCCTAGGTTCCACATACTCTCGGGAGCCAAGTCTCACCTTGTGGGAGGAGAGACGAACAGATCACCCCTCCTGCTTTACAAGGCAACATTGGAAACAGGTCCGAGGACACTCAGCCCAATAGAGCTACTCTTTCTCGGTGTTCGCATCAAGAAGGTGGATCGCTCGCAGGTAATCGATTCGGGGCTCTGGCCGTGAACTCAAGGCAAGACCCTTCTATCCGCGACAGTCAGCCTCAAAACCCAAGGAACCAAGAGCTACCTCGCAGCAGAGAAGTACCAGACCATACAGAGGTTAGTAGCACCAATGCAGAGCCGATGAAGAAGCAGCAGCGAAGGCGTCGCAAGGCACGCCGAACTTCAGCTCAAAACAGCCAGCTCGCGAGGCCAAACCAGCAGGAATAGATTAAAGAGGCGAGCTCGGTAGCTACATAGACCACTCCTCTACTCTCTGGGTCGTCCCCTCTGTCTCCCGAGCTCTTGGCGACCCCAATGCCCAAGGACTTCAAGATGCCTCCCCTCGATAAGTATGACGGGTCTTTTGATCCTAATGACCATGTAGATTCCTTCTAGTTCCAGATGCACTTAGTTGGGGCTGATGAGTCCTGCATGTGCGTGGATTTCTCCACCACATTCAAAGGAGTAGTTCGCACATGGTACCGGAACCTCGTACCAGGATCAATCAAGAGTTGGGTGCAGTTCGTGGAGTTATTCACCTCGCACTTCATCACTAGCAAGAAGTGCCTGAGGTCCCAAGAGAGCCTCCTCAATGTAGTTCAAAGAGAAGGGGAGTCCATTAGAAGCTACATCAAGCGCTTCAATGACACCTACCTGCAGATCCCCGACCTAGACCCAACGGTGAGGCTCACGGCAGCAAAGAAGGGCATAACTCATAGGGAATTCAAATGGCATGTGGTGGCCAACAAGCCAAAAGACATCACGGAATTCCTCAAGCTCGTCGACTAGTTCATCGGAACCGAGGAAGAGATGAACCAGAAGACCAATAATCCAGTAGAGAAGAGAAAAAGAGAAGGTGACAACACAGGTAATAACGGGAATAAGAGAAGAAAGAGTAAGTCCCCGACCAGGGGAGGAAACAAGTCTGGGAGTCGATCGCCTTCATGATCTCGCAAGTCAGGTCGGCTCTCTAGAACCCCACCTATAGAAATGATGAACTACACACCCCTCAACTTTAAGCGAGGAGAAATCCTGATAGCTATCAAAGACTCCTCCTCTGTCAAGTGGCCTCCTAGGTTGAGAGGAGATCCCACCACCAAGAACAGGAACGTTTACTGTCACTTTCACAAAGACCATGAACACAGTACATATAACTGTAAGAACCTCCATGACGAGATCGAAGAGCTCATCCACCGTGGGTATTTGAAAAATTTTATACAAAGAGAAGAAAGAAACCAAGCAGATCGGCAAATAGACCGGCAGGGTTACCAGAGAAGAAATGCTCTCGAGTCCAATAACAGACAGAACAACCAGCTGCCATGGCTACTGCCAGAGGAAAGACCGATCCGCGTAATCAATATGATTACTGGCGGGTCCATCATCGTGGGCTTCACTTCGGCAACAGGTCAAACTTTAGTTCGTGAATTACAAAGCGAGGAGCAAAACCCGCCAAAGCGACCTAGAATTGAAGAGCCGATCTACTTCACGGAGGATGATACGCGCGGGATCCAATATCTGCACAACGACACCCTGGTGATAATGCTAAGGCTCAATGACTTCGAAGTCAAGCACGTCCTAGTGGACTCAGGTAGCCCGGTCAACATATTGTTCAAGGACGTCTTCGACAAGCTCCAGCTCCAGCAAAGCGACCTAAAGCCGACGGATGCCCCCTGGTAGGATTCAGCGGCGAGAAAGTCAGACCCCTAGGGCGAGATTCAATACTTGTTGAGGTCAACACGTGACCAAACATAGCGAGGTTCGAGCACACGTTCCTAGTAGTCGCAACCCCATCTCCCTACAATGCCATAGTAGGTCAGCCCATTTCGCACGCCCTACGTGCAGTAGTTTCCACCTACTATCTAGCAATGAAGTTCCCTATGGATTATGGAGTAGGGGTTGCGCGAGGAGATCAGCTCGAATCTCGCAAATGCTACGTAGCCGCCCTCAAGTGAAAAGCCAAACTAGAGGCTGACATCGAGCTCGAGCGACCTACGGAGTATGCTGAGGAGCGAGCTACACCGACAGAGGAGACGGTTCACATCCCGGTCTCGATAGATGATCTAGCTAAGATCCTCCAGATCGGTGCTTCGATCGAAGAGCCACTTCGCTCTCAGCTGATAAGTTTTTTACTTCAAAATTTAGATGTATTTGCTTGGTTCGCGGCAAAAATGCCTGGAGTAGACTCTAAAATCTTAACTCATAAGTTAAACATCGATCCCTTAGTCAGGCTAGTTAGACAGAAAAAGCGCAACCTCACCCCGGAACGCTGGAGGATAGTCAATGAAGAGGTCGGGAAGCTCTTAGCGGCAGACTTCATCAGAGAAGTCCATTACCCGAGCTAGGTAGCTAACCCAGTCCTGGTATAAAAGGCGAATGGTAAATGACACATGTGCGTCGATTATACCGATCTGAATAGAGCCTGCCCAACGGACTGCTTCCTGCTGCCCAAGATCGACCGCTTAGTGGACGCGACCTCAGGGCATGAGTTGCTGAGCTTTCTGGATGCTTACTTTGGTTACAAATAGATTAGGATGGACCCCGCCGATGAATAAAAGACAGCCTTTATAACCGAGCTCGGATTGTACTGCTATAAGGTTATGCCCTTCGGACTAAAAAATGCTGGGGCAACCTTTCAAAGACATGTGAACAGGATTTTTGAGTCGTTGATCGGTAATAAAATTGAATTTTATGTTGATGATATGGTCGTTAAGACCCAATTTTCAAAATTTTTATTAAATGATTTGCAAAGTGTTTTCAAAATTTTACGAAAATATAACATGAAATTAAATCCCAACAAGTGTGTCTTCGGGGTCACATCGAGTAAATTCTTAGGTTACATAGTCAACCGATGTGGCATCGAAGCCAACCCGGAAAAAATAAAGGCTATCTTAGATATGAGACCACCTCGCAAACTAAAAGAAGTTTAGATGCTGAATGGCCGGATAGCCGCTTTGAGCCATTTTATGTCTAAGTCGGCAGATCGCTGCCTACCTTTCTTTAAGGCCATAAAGAAGAGTAAAGACTTCGAGTGGGCTACGGAGTGTCAGCTCACCTTTGACGAGTTAAAAAGATACTTAGCTAGTACCCCGGTTCTGACCCAACCCGAGGAAGGGGATATTCTAAAGTTGTACCTCTCTCTGAGTGATGAGGTGGTCAGCTCGGTACTGATCAAAGAGGTAGATCGGGTCAACAACCCATCTACTATATTAGCAAGGTTTTACAGGATGCTAAAACAAGGTACCCGGAGATCGAGAAACTGGCGTACACGCTAGTCATAGAAGCTCAGAAGCTTCATCTGTACTTCCGAGCCCACACCGTCGTCGTCCTCACCAACAAGCCTTTGAGACAGATCCTGCTCAAGCCCGAGGTGTCTAGCAGATTGACAAAATGGGCCATCGAACTCAACGAGTACGATATCTAGTACGAACCTCAAACGGCAGTTAAAGCCCAAGCCTTGGCCGATTTCATGGCATAATGTACGTTCAGCACCACAACCCCCGAGCTGGTCGAGCCCGAGCACACGGAGGAAACTTCAACCAGTGCGACACCTATCCCGGTTAAAGCAGGTCCAACCTGGAACGAGGAGCCCTGGATCCTCCACGTTGACGGCTCATCCAACCAACAAGGAAGCGGCACAGGAATAATTCTGTACAGTCCAAGCGGGGTAAAGTTGGAATACGCACTCCGGTTTATGTTTGCAGCATCAAACAACGAAGTAGAGTACAAAGCACTAGTCGCCGGGCTCACTCTAGCAAAGGAAGTGAAGGCCAAACATCTTGTCATATGCAGTGACTCCCAGCTCGTGGTCAACCAAGTCAGTGGTGAATATGAAGCCCGTGACCCCACCATGGCAACCTATTTAGCCAAAGTCAGGGAGATACTACGCGGCTCCATCTCTTATTTTATCACGCAGATCCCGAGATCCGAGAACACTGAGGTCAACGCATTGTCCCGATTAGCTAGCACAAGCAGCTACACCAAGCGGACCGTGTACAAAGAGGACTTACCTCGGCCTAGCATTATCA